CAAGGTTTGGCAAATGTTCTGCAAAGGGCCAGGTGGTAAATATTTTAGCCTTCTCGGGTTCTAAGGTCTCTTTTCCAGCTATCCATCTCTGTCATTGTGACACAACACAGCCAACAATAATATGAAAATGAATCAGGCTGGCTGTGTTCTAATAAAACTTTATTTACAGACATTGGAATGTGAGTTTTAAATAATTTTAACATTTTATATTATTCTTCTTTTGATTTTTTAATGATTTAAAAATCAAGAGCCATACTGATGGTCTTTGAGAATATCATACTAAGTGAAACAAGCCATTCGGAAAAAAAACTAAGAACTATATGATTTTACTCATATGTGGGATATAAAACAGAAACTCGTGGTCACGGACAGCAATGTGGTTGTTGCCAGAGGGAAGGGGGTGAGGCGGTATGGGGTGGAGAGGGACCTACTATGTGGTTTGACGGTAAGTGGTGGGCACACAGAGCAATCAGTACACAGACCTGGTATCGTAAGGTGCACACATAAAACCTACGTGATCCTACTAACCAATGTCACCCCAATGAAATTAATTTTGAAAACACCTTAAAAATAAAAACAAAAAAAGATTAAAAAATAAATAAAAATCAAGAGCCATATGGTTTAACTCCTATATGGTACATAAAACAAAAGCAACCGCCACATTGCCACAGAAGAGGTAAAGTGAAAAATAAAATCTAATAAATAAGTAGCTAGTAATATAAATATACAAGGATGAGTCTCATAAAATTAATTGAGGCATAGTTATAAACAAAAGAACTATATAATAAATAAGAATCTGGTTTAGCCTGTGCCAAACCTGTCCTATTACACAACTGGTGAATCATAAAAGAATAAGAAATCCATGGTTCCCCAGACCTTACGCACTGGATGGTAAGAGTGGGTCCCATTTCTAATTTTCTCTCATTTTCGTCTTCCCACACTGTTGAGCCAAACTTATATGAGTCTCATTTTAATGCAATCTTTTTTATGAGGTTTCTGGGATTCTCATTAAAATACATTTCCAGTGTGTCTATCCCATCAGCTCTTTAGACATGGCATGCTGGAATCCTGACACTGGAAAAAAGACATTAAAAAAGCAAACTTCTGAAACTGGTGTCAGAGCAGAGGTTCAAAACTAGGCTACTGAATCCAATTAGCTCTGTATTCGGGACTAATTGTTGTATTTCTTTGGGTCATGAAGCAATAGAGACCTTAGAGCTTATACTGTTCAGCAGTTTTCAAGGTCTTCTTTAGCAAAGAAATCTTTGTTAAAAACACAGTTTAACGTGTTATCCCAAAATGTAAAGTGGGAACAGCATAGCTGCTCTCTTGAAGAGGGGTCGGAGCACCAGGAGCCCTGCCCACTCTGCCTCCCCAAGGCGCCTGTGGTGACCCCCAAGGCTCCCCCACAGAACCCTAGGCCTTTGCAGAATACAGTCTGAAAACCACTGATCTCAGGCAGGCCTCTCATTTTACAAATGAGGAAGCTGAGAACGTGAAAAATGGCCCTGCCGGCAGCCAGACAATGCTGCTTCCAACTGGACATAGACAACAAATACGAATAGTGTTCAGACAAGATCACACAGCTGCTGGGTTTGGAACAAGACAGAGACAAGGCCATTCTGCCACCTCAACAATGACAAAGCATTCTAACACAAGAGACTGCTGTTTTCTCTTCCAACAACAACTCCTGGCCTAGCTTGACTCCACCAGTCTCTTTGATAAAATGTGTTAAGATACCCAGTCACCTCATTGCTGCTGCTTTGACATTATCCAATCCAGAATGTGTCCTGATCCCTGATTCCTTCTTGGAATCATCCAACACAAACCTGAACCCTGCAAGAGGGCCCTCCTGTGCATTCTCTTCCATGCCTTCTCCATGCTGCAGCAAGCTCAATAAACCCAGCTTCTTGTTTTCACTCCAGGTGTGTCCCTGGTGGTCTTTGGCTTCAACACTACACTATTAGCATTCTAAGCAACATCCTCAAGAAAAACAGAGCAGCACCTCGGATCAGCTGAGAGAACAGAGAGCTGAGTTCCTACAATCGTACAAAAATATATTAGAAACAAATAGAAAATAATTCAGACCATTAGCGAACCAAATGCTGCTGTTTCCTGCATGTTCAGCAGTGATGTCAGGGGCAACATGAGCTGCATTTGATGAAAACCCAGACAGCACTACTTGACAGTGTGTCTGAAGTTGGAAAAAGAACTGCTACCGGCTCTGTCTGAAATGAACCACTCATAACATCTGACAGCAGCACCCAGTGTGCATGAAATCCCCTCAGACATGAGCCAGGCACGCACAAAAGTCTATCATTGTTTAACCCACATTCACTTCACAGAAATTCAAAGACTTGTAGCTCATATGCTTCCACAGACAGAGCATACTGTGATAAGCATCATTCTTTGTAGGACAGTAGTGCAGAGCACCCACAGAATGGTCAAGGCTGCCCCAACACAAAGAAGAAGTCAAAGCGACTTCCATGCCGGTCCTGAAATGGAGGGTCTGATTTCCCTGGACCTTGCACATAGTAGGGACTCAATAAACATGTCTTGAATTGCATTCCATTCAGCATAATCCTCCCCAAAGACACCACAGTAAAGCTGAAACCAGCCCTGGATTTTGTGTGCACTGTCTATAGCTTAAATAGGCAGGTTTTGCCCTGTCTTACTCTGCTAACAGTGTTGCTATTCATGAACAATAAGATTTATTTTAAATATTTGCTCTCTTCATGCATGAGTAATAATAATAGGGGCTGAAGATGTGAGAGAGAGGCTAAAGGCAATGACTGTACTGGGGAAAGCACTGGAACTAAAGAAATGTTCCATATCGCAATACAGGCCCAAGACCTCATGCTGACTTTGTAGCCACTACCTCTCAGATCCCCAACCAGTTCCCTTACTTGTTCACTGAGAGGCCAGATGCATGACCCCAATGAGGTTTTTTCTAGTCCAGCAGTCTAAGTTCATGCCTCTGACCACTAAATGCATTTCTTAAAACTAAATTCCCTACACAAAGCTGCTTCCTCGAGTCCTGTTTAAACATTACCAACTTCCAGCCCTCCTGTTACTGCCTCTCTTCCCAGGATGCCATTTGCTGGGAGTCTCTGTTCATTTACCCTTCCATACCAGCACTCACGCCGTCTCCTCTCTGACTTTCTCTGACTGCCTCCTCCCCAAACACAGGCCACAGAAAAACCAACTGCTCTCTCAGGTGATCAAAGTACCTTATACATTCATTGGAATAGACTTACTTGTTTTTTGCCATCTCCTTGACCAGCCTGGTTTTTTGACTAGAGAAAGCACCATATTCATCTTCAACCTCCAAATATATAGAAAAGAACTTTGTACAGATTCTACGTGTGAGAACAAATTGCTTTGACAAAACATTAAATCTCATCTGTCCCTCCAAGGAAACAGAGAGTGACTGCCATTTCAGCCCTCAGGTTTGGTGCTTTTGTACATGGCAGAGGAGGTCATAGGCTTCCCAGCTGGCCAGTCCATCCCAGTAAGAAGAACCTAAAAACAGCCTCCAAACTACCCAAAATGCAGGTCTGGCTTCCCAGACCATTCAAAGGCTGTCCACGCAGTAAGACTCTCCTCTAGACAAAGAGAGAAAAACATCTCTGATCTAAACTCACTGCAAACAGCCAAAGCTATTCAATGAGTTTGCACCTTCTTCACCATCTTCACACAAATACGTGCTTTGCCTACTAGTTAGATCCCAGGCAAGTCTGTCTCCCCCAACTTTACTTTGAGCAAAGGAGGGTCTGTTTGCTAAAATGGCAGTTTACCTTGAAATGTACTGATGAGATAATGAACTTTTAGCCACCTGTCCCTGATAACCACCCTCCCCCACCTCACTGTGAAGTGTCTGTGAAAGTGCTCAAATAACTAAGGAATGTATTCCCAAACCCTAATTAGACAACAGCCATGTGGGGCCAGCTTGCTCCCATGGGGTAATATCCTGCCACCTCAAAGCCCATGTTCACAAGCTGGAGCTGATTTTCCAAGCACAACAAATAAATCACACTATTAATTTACCGAGGCATATGTTAGAAACTCAATGAATGCTCTCCCTAAGATATCTTCCTGAAACTTCTATTAAAGTACTTAAAACTTAGTTATAATTTAACTTTTTAATCCATCTATCGCACTCACCAGAGAGAGAACTCCAGAAAGGCAGAGAATCAATTCACACAGTACACATGCATGGTTGTCTCCCAAGTGGCTCGCACAGTTCCCAGCAGAACAAAGGGGCTCAGCGAGTAAGTGGCTGCATCTGTGCACCTGACTTCAGCAATCCTGAGGATGGTCCGGGACACAGAGGGCTCAGTCCCTGCACTAGGAGAGCTTGTTGAGACTCAGTGAATCCCCAGAGACCAGAGTCTACACTTACTTAGTTTTAAACCCTGATGCCTCACATAGACCAGACATTCAAAAAATACTTGTTTAGATGAAAAGTGATTTGCTCAAAATTAAGCCATTAAATATCAACTGAGAATCTCCATCTGGCCCACTAATAAAGCTGTGCTAATATCACCAAGTCAAGATGAGGGACAAATACCATATGATCTCACCTTTAAGTGGAACCTACTCAACAATACAAACAAGCAAGCAAAATATAACCAGAGACATTGAAATTAAGAACAATCTGACAGTAACCAGAGGGGAGGTGGGAGAGGATAATGTGGGGAAGGGAGGAAGGAGGGAAAGGTTTTCAGGAACAACTATAAAGGACACATGGCCAAAACCAAGGTGGGGTGGAAGAAAGGGAGGGAGATGGGGATGGCTGGGGTGGGGGGAAAATGCAGACAACTATACTTGAGTAACAATAAAATAATTTTCAAAAATTTTTTAAAAAGACATTGTCTTGAGCATGCTCTGACTGTCAAGTCTAGGAGACATGTTCACTTAAACTTCTTAACTTGTTGGGACATCCTCTAGTGTTTTCCCTTTGTCCTCTGTGTCACCATCCCCTCCAGTTTCCTACTTACCTCTCTAGTGATTTCTTCAGTCTATAAATGGCCCCTCTTTCTTCCTATGATCTTCAAACAATTGATTCCTCTATGAGGTTCTCTACTCTTTTGATTCTTTGCCCTCTCTGTGGAAGAATTCCTATAAATTCAAACACATGTATTTGATTATTTTTTATTTATTAATAATTCTCAAATTCACATTTCTAAACCAGACCATTCTTCCGAGCTTTGATATCCAACCACCACTGGTTCATCTCACATGCAACTTAAAAGCTTTGCTCATCTTCCACCCCTTTATCCTTTTCTTTACTCCCATGCCAAGCCTATTATTTCACCTACATTTCCTATTCTGTCTTGGTAAACTGTCTACCATCCCCCCACACCACCACACCAGAAATCCTGGAATCATTTTAAACTCCTCCTCACTATCTTCTTTCATAAAATTAGTCACCAACTAGGTATTTCTCAATGTCTCTCTTCCTTTCCATCCCTCCTGACACTCACATTAGTTTGTTTTTCATTGGAAATGGTCCCCAGAGTATTCACTCTGCTTTCATTCTCCTCCACCTTCAAACAATCTGCCACATCTGCTGGAAGACAGAGTTTCCTAAAATGCAAATATAATTACATTATTTTATGCTCAGACAATCCTTCCAGCCATCAGCCCATACCACCCCACTGTCCCGGAGATAAGGTACAAACTCCCAGGCGTGGTGTAGGTGGTCGCTCCTTCATCTCCTGCAGCATCTCTAGCCCCATGCTCCAGCCAGAATGACTGTGGTACCCTCCCCCAGGGTCAGTACTCAAGCAGTGCCCTTTGGCTCCTTCGCAGCTCCCCTCTGCCTGCCTGAACTTTCGTGTCCTCCAAACAAGCAGTTTAAGCGTTACCTCCAGAAGGCCTTCTCCATTAGGCTCCTCCCCCCAGCGAACTTAGAGGCCCATCTTCTGTCACCCATTCTACACACAGGGGTTCCACTCTGTGTGAGGCTATTCAGAGATTTTCAGCTCTGGCTAAACTTCATGCTAAACTTCGCTCAAGCATCTGAGTGCCCAGAACTGAGCCGCACCGATTCTGATTTAAATGACTAAATCAGTGATTAATTGCTCTAAGAATCAATATGATTCTCACGTGCCTTGGGCTTCGTGCTTCTTGAACGTGATTGTAAAGATCAAGCACCTGGGGATCTTTTCAAAGTGAAGATTCTGTCCCGGCCAGTGTGGTTCAGCTGGTTGGAACATTGTCCTGTAGATCAAAAGGCTGCAGCTCTGATTCCCGGTCAAGGCGTATGCCCAGTGGTACATATGAAAGGAACTGATCTCTCACATTGGTGATTGTCTCCCCCTCTCTCTCCCTCCCTTTCCCTCTCTCTAAAATCAATTTTAAAAATTTTAAATGAAGGTTCTGATTGACAGTCCGAGATTCTGCATTGTTAATAAACCCCATGTAATGTCAGTGCTACTGGTCCAGAGATCATAGTTTGAGTAGCAAGTGGCTAAATAAATTCTGACATTGGCTGGCCCATCTGGGTCAATAAAGCTGTGAATACCCAGAGCAACTACAAAAAGATTCCCCCTGTTAAGTAAAACAGAGGTTGCTAAAACTCTTGACATAATCTGGTTCCAGAAAAATTTATGAGTGTCTGTGAAAACTGCAAAGCCATAGGCGTAGAAGCTACTGTCATCTAAGAGCATAAAGCCCAGAATAAGACAGAGTAAACAGCCTAAATAAGGTCGAAGCTCAGGTCCAAGCTCAGGACACCTGAATATACTGTTCAGTACATTCAGTGCCTGAGAAAGATGCTGAAGACACACCACACTAGGAAAGTAGCAATCAGGAGGCACACAATTGAGATTAGCAGGACCAGCGAAGCCCTCTGATAACAGAAGTGGCTGGAGCAGCTTCTACAAAAGAGATCCCAGCCTAAAGTTGTGGGTAAAAGGACAATTGGGAAACTGGTCATTCAGTACAAGGTTGACGAGTGTGTGCTGGTTTCCTAAATGAACTTCACCTTGCCTCAGGATGGGAAATAAAACTGAAAAATATACACTGTGGAAACTGGACTATTCTGATGTCTTTAGCACCTTGAAGGCAACAGGGCTGGCTTCTTAACTCCCCCAGGACCCAGCGCAATGCTTGATACATCGAATTCACTGGGTAGCTGTTGAACAAAGCCTAAGAAAAAGCCTAATGAGAGAAAGTCTTGGCTTTACTTACATAACGTTTTATCTATGTTGTCACCAGCCTCCTTCCTGTGGGGTCTGTTCCTGGACAGCCTGCCCACTGGAGCGATTTCCTCAAGTTTCTGGGTGGAAGCTGGCTCCAGTGGGACTGTGATACAGAACAAGAGTCACCAGGCCCTTCGCACATGTACATCTAAGATACGAGGGTCATGGGCTTAACCACAGTAATGTCTGTACTTACTAGAGAATCAGGCAGTTGTCACCTGCCTTAATTTGGTTGTAGGAGAAGGAGGAAGGAACAGGAGGGGGTGACCTCACTGGTTCCCCAGCAAGCAGACTTGTTTGCCAGAAACAAGGGAATGACTGAACAATAAGTCATGTTGCCTAAAGGTCAAACGCATGGGCTTTGGCATCAGACAGATCAGAGTTTGAGTGACATCTCTACCACTCAGCTATCACTTTGGTCAAGTTATTTAACCTTACTAAGTCTTAGCTTCCTCATGTGTAAAATGGACAAAATAAGTAACTTCTTAGGAGAACTGCTGTAAGGATTAAATGGGATAATTGTATAAAGTACTCAACACAGTGTCTAGGTTACTATAGATGTTAATAATAGGTCAGCAATGGTGCCAATGGAGAAAGCCTTCAGTATCCGTTGTGGCTGCATAACTAATTCCAGACTCAGGGTTGTGGCACCATCTATATGTCAGATTTCTATTTCTTGCTAGAGTATGCAAGGACTGGAAGAAATATCTTGTTCTTTTCTTTCCCCTTTTAAAAAATGACATTTCTCTTTTTTCATTTCAATTGTCTCAAAAATTTTGTTTTTCCTCCACTATTGGGCATGAAACTGGGTAGATGATAGATTTAATAAGTAAGTGAGGGATGGTAGCAATTTTTTTTCCATCTCAAATCAATGCCAATTGATTGAGGGTGGCTGCCCAGACCACTGTTTTAAGAAGGATGTTGATGCTAAGTCTAAGCTTAGTGAAAAAGAGAGCTACAATTGATTAGTGGTAACTTCAATGAGTGTTTTTTATGCCTCCTTTTAACTCATAGTTGACAGGATGGTGAACAGTAACAGCTCGTTAGGATCAGTGGAATGGGGGGAATGGACAGCGATGAGAACACTGTTACATTGACCCTGAGACGTCTTTTGATACAGTCACTGTATGTCTGTGCCAATTGCCCCTCCGCATCCAACCTTCTCCACCAGCTCCCTGCCTGAAGGCTGACCTGTATGAGTATATAAATAGGGCTATGTACCCTCTAGCTCTGATTGGTTTGGCCATTGAAGATCCCCAACAAGAGATATCAGTGTGGAAAACAGTGAGAGCCAGGTCATTATTTCCCTGGATTTTTCCCTGCTGGGTTGCTTCAGGATGGCTATGTCCCTCGATAAGAAGTCATTGATCCTCTCTAAGCAGTTGACTCTGTGATTCTCCCTTCTCCAGATTCCAAAAATTATCCCTTTTTCCATCCCTTTGGAACAAGAGGTGATAACAACTCCAATGCTGAAAGCTCCAGGGTACTGCACTACCTTTGCTGATTCTCCTAACCCACACTTTTAAAAACAGTCCATTTATAAATGATCTTCATCAAACTATATTATTCTAACCACCCATTTTCTGTGGGAATCATGACTGATATATTAGGCCTTTTACTGCTTCTATGTTGGAAGCAAAGTGAGCATCCATAGACATGCATGCAATAGAACACGCTAGGAAGGGCATGTTCATACATCCAAGAAAAGGGGTGTGCATCTGGTAGCCAGAGATGAGATGGACTAGCAACAGCAATACAGATGCCCACTTCCCCATCCACCTTAAACTGTCCACTATGATCTAGACCTTTCTTTCACAGGAGTGTTGACTAATTGAGCAGAGGTAGGTCCAAGCATTATCCATCTTTAATTTGATGTGGTGAAAAAAAATGTCCTGGACTGTTCGACTTCCCTTGCTGGGAAACTAAAACTCAAATACGAGACAGAGAGGTACGGATGTTCAGAAGGTGGCTGAGTCAGGTTATCAGCAGAGAACAAGGGGGTCCTGCTTTTCCAATCACCTGCTTTTCCTCCCAAGCCTGCCCTTCTTGCAGCCAAGTCCTAGAATTCTTCCTATGTCTCTACATTTGTGGAAATAAATGCATGACTGATCTCCATTCAAAAATAAGATAAGAAAAAACAAATACACCCCTGATCACCACCCTTTCAGTGGTGTCAGAACCCACATTTCATGATGAGTAGGGCAGATGAAAATAAGGAGAGGAGAAATAACCCGCACATGTGACTTCACCCTCAAGGTAAAGGAGCTTGTTCCTGAGTTTCTCATCCAATGCTCTTGTGAATCACCCACTAGCCAATCACCCTTGAGAACCTTCATATAAACTAATGAGATCCCATTCCTTGGTAGGAGGAACACCCTTCAGAACCATCAGACCTCATCCCAGTGTCCAGCATCCAGAGATAAGGACTTCGTGACAAATACAGGGCAGGTAAAAAAAAAAAAAAAAAAAAACCACTATAACTCTGACTCTCCCCTACAAAAAAGAAGATGATAAAGCATCCGAAGAAAAAAGGTAAAGCAGGATACCTCATAGCAGGGAAGTTGTAAGAGCAATCAAAACACTATTTAGAGGAACAAAAGGGAGAGGAATTAGGGCCAACAAGGGCTGGAAGCCTCTGCCCCTTGAGTTGGGAGAACAGTAAAGCTCACCCAATTCCATTTCAGTACAACTCTTTTCAAGCTCTTCCAACACTTTAATTCAGTATCTTCAATAGCCTTTTCGTCTCTCAAGGTCCATATCAAATAGATTCTCTTCTGTAGAGGCTTCCCTGACCTCAAGCCTTCCCACTCCCAGTCAAAATTAACTGTTCCTTTCTCTACTCTTAATGCATACTAACCCTCTCTTTAGCGCTTTTTATTTGTAAGATATGAACACCTTTGCCTCCCCCAAGTGGTCTGTGAGCTTGCTAGTGGCAGATATCTGCATTCATGATTTCTGACTAAAAACAGCCCCTGGATTAGAGGAGAAGAGTGTTACGTGTTCACATTTGAAGTGCAGACTTCTGCTATCACTTGGACATTGGAGAGTCCACCTCCCTCACCCCATACTCATCTTTTTCCAGTTAAGTTGTTGGTGGGCAAGTAAGGTCCTCTTCAGTGCACACAGAGCTGATTTTCAGCCTTGGTCTGGGCTCCCACAAAAAGTGCAGGGAGAGACGAGAGCTTCTTGGGAACAGAAGTGGGGCTGGCAGGTTGGGAAAATGGAAACAGGAAAGGGGAGAAAATCCAAAATTACGTGTGTTAGCTATCAAGCTGATCTCTCAGGTACCTGGGGTTCTCTCCCCCAGGGGGGATACTCTGAAAAGCCACATAGAATTTCAGAATTTCCCCCCCAAGGAAAAGAAAATGGAAGAAT